TAGAATCAATTGCAAAGCTGTCTTCTCCTGTCCTGATGACCAAGCCTGGCCATTGAGAAGGATGAAGAGGTACTGTGCGGTAGGCTTCAGCCACGTCACGAACAGCTGCCTGAGATCCTGGGGGGAGAGACCAGATGAGTAGACAGATTGTTGATGCTGTGCCCCACGTGCATGGATATAAGTTAGAGTCGATAGAGGAATTAATGGATGATACTGTAGCTGATGGACAAAGCGGGAATGAGAGGTTTTGTACGAGACGGAATCTTCCTGGCTTTCCCGGCTTAGGAACCATGGAGAGTGGGGCTGTCTGAAAAGGACCAATGAGTTCTTCAGTCTCTGATTTAGATATAGGTCCGATATAACGACCAGTGGAATATTCACGGTCCAGAATGGCAGTAAAGGCGTCAAAATGTGCATGTAGTGAGGGGTTATTAGGTGGGGTATAAGTTTGAGATATGGTTGGGACGCTGCCCATGAAACCAAAGCGAAAACCATTCGGAATATGTGCATATTTACGTATGAGATTTGAAGAAATGAGAAACTGCAGCCAGGCCTCAGGCCTATAGGGAGTGATAGCGTTAGATGCTCTCGCTTTGAGGGCAGTCTTGAGCTCCGTGATCCTTTGCTCCGCATCCTGAACATTCGTGCACATGAGTTCGAGAGGGGTTGGTGCATCCCTTGGGTCTCTGCCAGTCGTAGCAGATTTCGAGGCCCTCTGGATTGACCAAGTGACCCTCTGCGTTTCGACGACATCGAGTCTTGGTTCGTTTGTCCCATAGGAACTCGGATGCGCATTTGTGGATGGGGTGACGGAACCGGCCGAGGCATAGGGCGCAGGCTGATGGGCTGGTTTGGCCTGCGCCCGCTGGAAAAAACTGCTGCGACTTCTGTGGTTTCTTTGCCATTTGGTTAGCAGGGCGGTACGGGTGATAGCGGCCATCATTCACAAGAGGTACCGTCTCTGCATGCCCGTTTCGGCTGGAACTCATGTCTCTCCCCCGAGAACGGAAGGAAGTGTTGGGAACTGCAAGCGAGTTTTGCAACTGAGTGAGATAGAGCAAGCATGAAAGGATTCGAGTAAGCCAGGGTTCGAACAATTATACGAAAGCAAAGATTTGGTTAAACCATGGTATACAGGGATGTGCGAAAGCAGTGTGGGCATAAGCGAAGCAGCGGTTAAGTTGTTTGAGAGGGACACAGGAAAGCGGGAGCACAGGAGTTTGTGTCAGCATGAGGGTAGATAGAGCGGCAGCATAGCGAGCGCAAGCAAGGGAGAGCGGAAGACAGAAGACGAAGTCATATACATATGTGTTAGCACGTGGGAAGCAGATGGGAATTGTACCCCGAAAGCAGGGATAGCCAAGAGTGAAAGCATTTAGACAGCCAGCAGGGTCCGTTTCCGAAGTGAGATTGAATATATGAAAGAAATTGGTCAGTGATCGAATGTTGGTGGGTGACGCACTACGCACCATTTTGAGACCCTCATCTCGTTCAGCCTCCCATACGTCGTCAGATATCGAGTTGTATAGGGCATTATTGAATAAACCAATGTTGAACCCTTGGTCTTGCGCTAAGCGATCATGCCATTCACGGCGCACAAATCCTGCGTAGCGAAGCAGAGCCTTTTCTCCTCGTGGCCGCATGCGATGCTCATGGTTGGTAATGAGCGTGAAAAATAATGCTAAAGCCTGCTGATGCTTTTGCGGCCAGTTGTTCTTTTCAATGTGCACAAGAAAGCTGGTCTTTGCGAGGTCAAACTGCCGCCAAGATAGGTCATGATCCTGTAGAGCCTTCTGAGAGGCTTTGAAAGACGCGATCGTCTTGAGGGCAACTACACCATCCACTTTGGCGAAGCCAAAAGCGTCATCTGAGTCTGACGTGGACCTAGAGGTGGTGGAAGCCTCGTGGCAACCGTCAGGGCTAAAGTACCACAATTCTACATACTCCATGTTCTTGATCCTTTGGATAGCATACTGGGATGGGCGAGGTATGATAACGTCTGCAACAAGAGCCCCTTCATCAAAATCATTGATCTTGGGCTTTTTCTTCTCAGCTTCGCGCCTCTCTAGCTGTTCCTCGGCCTCTTTTTCAGCTCCTCTCGCGCTCTAACTGTTCTTGCAGGGTGCGAGCATCTTCCTCATTCTGTTGCTGCCAAAGGATAATGCGTTCCTGGCGCTCGAGTCTCCAGCCTTCAGCCATTTGCTCGAGTGCATCTTCTCTGGCCGTGCCCCCTGCCACAAGGGCGTTGAGCCATCCCGCGTATGCTGCTGACTCGAAATTGGGCTGCGCTTCCAGCGCTGGGTCTGCTAAGATGCGTTGCGTGGTAGGCCGGGTGAATTCGGAGAGTGTTTGCTAAGAGTGTGTTTTGGAGAAATTGACTGAGTGTTTCTAAGAGTAGTAGCAAGAGTAGGAAGAACGGAGAAAAGAGAAGGAGGAAGAACGTCGTCGTTGAGGACGACTGAGACGATACGGCGCGACGTTGCAGTATGAAGTCAGAAGGTTCGTACTGCCCCCGACGCTTGCGCAAAGACTTAACTCTATTCCTACACTCGTTCCTCGTTACATAATAGACTATCAACCTTACATAGTAGAGCTCACCATCACATTTACCTTGATGATAATATGACCGATGCGAACAAACCCGCGACTCGAGAGATTGTCCATGTCCATGTCACTCATCCAGACCGTGACAATCGTTTCCGCACCGCAGCAACTCCCAGCGATTTGATCAAAAAGAATGTGAAGACTTTCGGCGTACAATGTACGCAGTGTCAAAAAACTTTTGAAATGTTCGAAGGTGCTGGTGGTTGATATACCTAAACCTTTCATAGGCGCTCATCACATGTTTTCGTAGTGCAAGGGCGTCTGGTATTGCTCAAAAGAGGTAAGATCTGCGACTTGGACAAAACAAGGGGCTGACGTTACAACTTATGTATCTTCTTGTGATAGTGCCAAAAGAAACATTGGTGAGCGTTCTGTTCACAATCAATACACAGAGAACTCACTCCAGACCTGGACTCGCACTCCATGATAGGCCCGCTCACAAACCAGCATGTCACAACGTTGAACGCTCCTCAGGAGCCCTCAAATTCGTACGAGTGTTCTACGCAAACATAACGCTCATGATGTTCCTCAAAGTCGCCATCATTTACGACTGTGGTTTGCTCGACAACCCTCGGTTCGGGTTCGATACACCTTTCATGGCCCGTGTTGACATCGCCATTGAGCCAACTGATATCCTCGACTTTGCGGGACTCTATCTCGATAACGGGCCCATCGCGGAGAAGCTCAAAGGAATGGTGCAAGTCAATGTTGTCTCTGCATGGGATCCGAACACACATCCTCCCCTCACGCCGACGCGGCTGCGCTTATGGCGCGAGGCTCGAGCACAGTCCACCGCATCAGGTTACGGCAAAGATCCTGTTGGACTCATCGAGTTCCTCAATTATACAGAGAACTCTACCACCGCCGCGTTCCATATTTCCAGTTCTATCCTTGACGTAGCTAGGAAACGCGAGCCTTTTTTATGTTCTTCTGCCATCATGGGCAATCATCTTGAGAAACCTATGGATTCTGCGACATGTATAGAGTGGGTTCTTTGACCCCATATTGTGGACTTTAACAAGCGCGGCCCTTACCATCGTCTTGCATAGGTATATCAACTTGCATATTCGGGCCGATGAGCAGGATCAGTTACTTTTACGGACTGTGATGACGGAGCAAGACAAGGAAGTTATTCGCGCCGCAGGTCGCAACGAGGACTCGCTTCCCATCTCTCTTCTCAATTTCAAGATGCAAAGAGAACTCCTCTATGCTAACATAATGAAATTGAGACGCTAGCCAATTACATCCTCAGGTGTGCGTTTTCGTTTTTTAGAGCGCTAAAGTCTTTCTGATTGTAGCATGTAGACAGCAAACGACTAAATATATTCTTGCACAAACGAGGTTGGGTTGACTGAATTTTAGGACATGTTTGCAAATCATGTATTCTTGCGTTGTGTGCTTGTAAATTTGGATCTACTATATTACCGATTAGTTCAAGATATCATACGTCACTTCTAGTGTTTTTCGCGCTCATGATCATGTACGCTATTCATTTCATCATTCTGTAACAAAAAAAAACCCTCCATTTTCTCCCCACCCTATCTACAGGGCTTTGTACGCATACATCTGTTCATCATGTGTCTTAGCGCTGATATTCTTTTTGTGTCAGAATCTTTGGACCTTACCAACGTATTTACGGTGTCGGTCCCTTCGTTTTCACGTGTTTGTACTCGGCCTCTCAAAATTTCACAGGGTTGCTGTAACTTCAAGCACTTAGCAGCCGCATTTTCGCTGGCTCACTCCTTTCGTTGAACATTCCTTTCATTCCTACCCAGCGAGTGAAGCGGATTAGAAAACACTGGTATATTGTACTCATTGTGACCTTCACGACGTCTCCGCGTGTGCCGGCGCCCCGATCATCTGATAATCCACGCGCATGCCCATGAGCGACTCGCGCCTCTATTGAATGTTGAATGGCCATGCTATCACAGGCCATCACCCAGTCCCACCTTGGTAATGACATAACGCAATGTCGAATGTGGCCGCACCGTGCAACAACATGCACGCAGAACATGGAGATAACGGAGAGCAAGGAAAGAATGAAACGGATCTGGAAGACGAGGATGATAGAGACGAGATGGAGAACGGGGAGAGAAAGGAGAGGTGAGTAGACCTAGACCTGGACGAAAATAGTAGGACGAGGAAGAGGACGAGGAATGATGAGCAGACGAAGCAGATGACAACGGCGAAGCGCAGTATGGTAGGGCTGGGGTCGGTAGACTCGGTACATTGAGTACTTGTGTCTTTATGATTTGGATACTACAAATAATATTCTGTTTGAGACTTGCTGTGAGGTTGTTACAACGACGTGGAGACTTCATCACCGTACTAGTTCGAGGTTGTGACGACGAGCATAGCGGCCAGATGTAACCAATGCAATGGACATTCTTATTATTGGCAACTACAAGGTCACAACTACGAGACGCCAAGCTGGTTCTTTCTCGTACGAACAATAAAAAAAATCAACTATGTCGAGGCTTCTTCTTTGGCGGAGGCGATGTTTCATCTCCCGGTCTGGGCCTCTTCTGCTTCAGGAGGTTGGGGAGCGGACAAAGTTCTATACCACTAGCACACTGTTGCGTATAATCGAGATATCCTGCAGCTTCTTTGTGCATATCTTGCAGAAGAGTGGCGTCAAGCGCTAGCAAGGGATGTTCTGCCTCCGCCCTTCGATAGCCATTTCGGAGAGTTCTTGCGAAATGGGGAAGACGCCTGCAAACATCACGACATGTCTTTGAAAGGGAATTCTTGCAGGTGGTTTTAAGTACTCTATACTTGGTGAAGAAGTCCCGGCGTGATATGTGGCCGACCGTACCAGGGAAGGCCAACTGGAAATGTTTCCACTGACCTTGTACATCAAAGGAATGGTTGGCGCTCGCCGTGTCCGTGTCCGTGTGATAAAAGAAGATCCAGGTAAAAACCCACCATATGGATTCGATGTCGTGCAGGAAATTCATGCAAAATGGAGGGTCGAGTGGGAGGTCTGTATCAGGAGAATCTCTACCAGATGATGAGGGGTCGGAAGTTTCTGGCCAGAAATGGTACTGCTGAATTTCTACTTCCACCGCCATGAAATGTATTGTCCCCTGGCTACGAGTTAGCACCGAAAGAGATCATCTTCAAAAAATCTTACCGTTCGAACATCATGAGAAGTATGCGAATCTATCTTCTTCGCGTACTCGAAGTCACCCAATTTCCCGATTCCCCCGTTGTCATCGACGACCCAAATTGCGTTCCCGACGCTGAAATCGCGATGAACCCAGCCTGCTTTGTGCATATAATACAGTGCTAAGTCTGAATGAGCGACTGAGGAAAGGAGAGTGACAGTGGTTTGCTCACCCTTAAGTCCGCCAGACAAGCAACTCAGGTTGTCGGCCAAAGAGGTGATATCCTTCACAGCGACTCCAACATCATGGAAAACAGTGCGAGTATGGACTCTGCGTGGGATGCCGGTGTCGTTTCGCGCAATACCGCCCAACTGTGTGGGAAGAAAGGCAGACAGTCGACCAGAGTCGGGTACATCGCCTGCGCTAGGTAAATGTGGTCTTGCGGAGAGGATGGGCTGGAGATCGATGGACACCCACTTCCAGGTACGATCATGCTCTTCTCCAACCAGCGGGTCCAGCGTCACGTCTGGGGTATCGTCGATTATGACATCCTTCCAGAATCGGACTCAACGAAGTGCCTCTTGGCATCCGCCAACTCCTCCGCTTGCAGCTTCTCCGCACAGGAAGCCAAGATGTTTTCTAGTATCTCGCCCTCTGATTGACGTCCAACTTCTCTCCATGAATCTTTGATGGCGACCTTCTTTCCCCCAGCGTCCGTGGCTTCGTACACGCGAGTTCCACGCCCACCCAGAGTCTGCGCCATAGGTTGCAAGTTCCCGCGTCGTGGTGAACACTTCGTCCCCGACGGTGAACTTATATCGGAATTCCTTCCCGTCACGGATCCGCTCGACAGTGGGGTCCCATCCGAGCTCATTCATAGTAGAAGACGCAGACGCTGATCCAAGAGCGTAAAAGAGAGAGATAACACCGTCGATATTCTAGATGTACCATGCCTGTTAGTACCCTGACGCACAGCGCGATACATTTGTGTACCTCGAAGAAGTTGATAGGTTCTGTAACTGCGAGGCACGCACGATTGCTGAGCCACAGTCTCAATTGCGTGTTCTCGATTGTGATACCAAATGCAAACCGCCGACAGGGATCCTCCCGCATGATGCTGTGGAGGCTCCAGATTATTTTCTGTTCGTCCTAGAGGCTTTGTGAGCGGACGCCGACAAGATCTGCAATAACTTACGTCTCGGAGAGACTCGGTATCCTGTTCCTTCTTGAACTCGAATGGCACAGCAATGTCGAACCAATGGATCTTGGGCTCAAAAATTTTTATCGCTAAGTACAAGATATCCATCAGGCCTGGAAGTATTGTTGCGCTGCGAGAGGGGTGTTCCGTTTGGGTTTGTTAGAAATGATACTCCACGATCCGGGACTTCGGCCAAAATTTCAGAGATGATGCGACCGAGGGGCTTAAACACATTCTCTTCGGACCCTTTCGATTTGGCAGGTGGGGTAAAGTCCGTCCATCGCAGGCCACTCTCGTCGTCGGTGAGAATCTTGCTCTCTGTATTAGTCAAGTTGTTGCGTATTCGCTGCAGATCTTGCTGAGGCGGCATGGTACCAACATATTTCACTAGGCAATCGAACGGAACCTGCAGATACCATCCCAATTCAGCGAGAACAGTAATGCGGCCTAGTTTCAGATCCTCCGTGCGATGATCAGCTTGTGAGGTATGACGAGCGAATGGAATTGTATCTGGCGGCAGTATTTGTGAGTTCTGTGATCGTGGTGTATGAGGGGTGACCATCGTGATTCGATGAGGCGAGTAAGGACAATCTGGCTTTGTGGAAATGAAACTGTTATTATTCCAGGACTGTGGCTGCAGCATCATATGTAGAGCTTAAATCCTTGCCAGTAAACGGATTGGCAAGTGTGGCTACGTACCTCACAGGGACCAAGAGGAAGTCGTACTCTAGTAGACTAGTAGATCGGTGGAGCAATTGTGCGTTGTAGAGAACGTCCGGGAGATGGACACTCTTGGGGTAACTCTGTCACGGACTCTAGGGGTATTGTATGGGCGCACCACCAGGGGCGGATGATGGACATTGAGAGCGCGATGTGTCTGAAACTCCGACGATTGAGCCGAGCGGCTGACACACTCCCAGAGTGAGACCTACAAAATCCCCAGAGTCCGTGACAGAGCCTGAGGTGCCCCCAGAGCGTCCATTAGCCTGACTTTCTATCGCGTCAAAATTATCCTCGAGGAGATCCTGAGTTGTATAAAAACACGTCAAGGAGTCGCGGGGGAGTACATGGCAAGATTGAAAATTCGCCTTCCGAATGTCCTGTTGCAACTTGGTTCGTTCGCATGACATTGACGCTGGCTGCATCCTTAGCGCACAGCGCTCATAACTTTAAAGTTTCAATCGACGGGCGCTCAAATCGGTTCAGTGACTTCTCACTCGTATCCATCAATGGCTGAGACTAGCTGCCCATCTCAGGCTCACCTTCAAGTTGTGAAGAGAGGTAACTGCGAACTGAAGTTCAAAGCCGCAGGGTTACTCTTTCTTGCTGAAGAACTCCAGATTTACATCCTGGCCTTTCTTTCTTGCAGAGATATCCTTCGTTGTACATCTGTGAGTTACAATCTTGTGTTATTTATTCTAGATGGACTTTTACACTGACGATTCTCTTGCAGGTATGTAAGACCCTTCGCCAGACGTACTTGTCATCATCCGAGCTTCAGTACATCGTTGAGCTCAGTGGCCAACATTTACTCCCCGTCCCCAACACGGATAATCACACACCTATTTCCGAGCGCCTACAATTCTTGCGGGACAAAGCCCACGCATGGTTCAAGATTAACTACCATTCCCTCGAAAAAGTCACCGGTAGGCATCTCTGCTGGTGGGACGAAGATGACTTGGCCACGATCATTCCGATACTACCAAAGTCTTCACGACAAACAGTCGAGCTGTGCAAAGATCATTGAGTTCAGTAATCTCGGCTCCCAACTCAGAGAAGCTCGATGTGTTCATGGACCCAGCGCAAAACTTGTGCATGTTGTTGATGAGACACTCTACATTGATCTCAGAGCCCTGAATGGTGATGGTGTTCACCCGCAAGCTGCTGGACAGAGGTTATTTCTGTCGGTGCTGCAGGGATACGATGAAGACCGCCTTGACACGGAGATCGCAAACCTTAGAGATTTTGGGAGGCATATCGCTTTATTGCGGAAGTCTCTATCGTTTCATACGTGGCAGCTGCAGATTTGGGATTGGCAACATTCAACGACATCCAATGTGAGCCATGGTCAGAAAGACTCAATAGTTGATTCTCAATTTAATTTTAGTGCTTCCTCAGTGGCGACCTAATCCCAATCGATCTTTGTTTCTTCGGAAATAATAGGTTGCTCGTTGTCGGCGATACTTTGAAGCTCTATTTAATCGAGGATGTGTCTCAGATGCCACAATTCCTGGCGTGTTTTCTCATACCCATCCCGGTCACACGGCTCTTCCTTCCGACGGAACCGCAAATACTAGCCCAGCAAACGTACACATCAAACCCCGAACACCAGCTGCTATGCATGACTACGTTTGAGGATAGAATAAAGAGACAGTTTCGTCTATATCATCTCCACAAGGATTTTCTTCGATCTCGACGGATCGGCAGTAGCAACGCCAATACCGTGGAATCGTTGGGGCCCTTCAAATACTCGTATTTTCAAGCACAACTTCGAAGGGAAATTTCACCTTAGTGGAAATTGGGTCCTGCAGGGATTCCCCGTCGGCTCTCCCCAGGCCACGTCACGTTCAGGTCCAAGACACTTCATGTTGCATATGATAGACTTCAGCCCGCTAGCCGTGACGAACAGGCGAGGTCTAGGACGAGTGGTGAAAGAACCATCTACGATAGACATCAGTAACTTCACTGACAGTCCTCAGGAGACTCAGAGCTTGATAACGTCTCTGCCTTACGTCGAGGTCGTATTGGACAGAAAGTTCAAACTTGCGGAGTTGGAGGACATATGGATTGACCAGAATCGAATTTATTTGCTCCTCACAAATTACAAAACGAATCCAGTCCGTAGCAAGCTTGGGGTCATTGATGTTTAGAGCGGTATATTAGTTAGTTGTGAGAATAGATCATCGGCCTTGCGTTTAGACATGTTTGAAAACTTTACGATACGTCATGAATACCTGCACAAATGCTGCTAAAATGAATGTAGCGCAGTACAGTCCAAAAATTATCAAGAGCAACCAAACTACTTCTTTATTAGCATACAGGTCAACCTTCATCCACTTTGTGAACTGCAGCTGCATACTCTACTTACTACATTTCTTGGTATAGAAACTCTACGTAAACAAGGACACCCAAACAGCAGGGCAACTAAGTACTAATGTTCATCGCGTCGCGGTCTATGGGTACAGACAGACTGAGATAGCAACACAATATGATGGTAAGAGATGGGGGAAAAAAGTGCTACGGTATAGTGGTGCACACGTCTATGTGCAGGACAAAACAGGAAATGGTTACCGATTATGTGTTGGCTTTGACGAGGGGGCATTCGCATTCTCCTTGGCGGTGGAGGATGACGGGACGGGAGGTGCAGATAGTATGGGCGCTTGATGCGGTTGTGCCGGTTGCCGCTGCAGTGTGCCATCATCACTTCCGCTACCCGCCTCCCCGACCGGCTTCATGGCATCTACCTCATCGGCATCAAGTACAATTTGCTGTGAAGACTTGCGTTTTGCAGCCTCTTCTTCTTCGGCCCGCCGGATGACATCGATCTCGCCCTGCACCGTTATACCGTCGAGCCATGTGTGATGTACAAGCTCAAAGGCTTTTGCACGGCGCTCGGGTTGCAATTGGAGCATCGGGGTGAGGAACGCAGAAATAGCATCAGCTTCGTCCTTCGGGAAGAGGTATTTGTCGTGGAGTACCGCTTCAAGAGGCCAAAATCGGAGCTTGTTGATATGTCGGAGTTCACCTAGAAGTATGGTACGGTAAGAGCGTATCGGAGGGCATTTTTGAGAAACTTGCCTTTCCGATTGAAGAACTCCGAACTATACTTCCCTGAAAACGCGACTGATCTCGGGATTTCTCTCAGCAGCTCTATGATCTGAGCGATGTGGTCATCATCTTTGCTGTACCGTGGGCCTGGCGCGGGATCAAAGAGATAGTCTCCCCCGGTAATAAGTTCAAATACCTAAGGCGTGTATGAGTAGCATACTCTGAACGATGATTGTTACACATACCAAACACGCAATACTCCACACATCCGCACTAGTCCCCCACTTAGCGCCAAGGATGACCTCCGGACAACGGTATTGCCGGGTTTGAATATCATCTGTAAAGTGGTGCTCGACCCAGGTAGCTACGAAGATAGAGAGCACCGCCGAAGCGAATGTCAATGAGCAGCCATAAAAAACACAATAACAATAATATAAAAGGAAAGGTACCAACCGTTCCCAAGATCCGCAATTTTGACTGTGATCTTCGCGGTGCTCTCGAGCATGCTAGACGTTGTAGATGTCTCTGCCAGTACCGAATCCATAGACATGACAGAGCTGGAAAGCTTCGGATCGACAGCATTAGGCTCCACAGATGCTTTGGAAGTCGAAACAGCATGTGGCTGAGAGGATGTTGTGACTGGAGGGTGGGAGGGGGCCATTTGTGTCAGTAGCGAAGGCCCTGGAGGATGGGCAGGGTGAGGTGTTGTCGTCTTGTTAAACCCGGATGGATGCAATGAGACATTTGAGATACGCTCTGCAGTCACCTCTGTCGAGTCTGCGCGCTTGGAAGACACGTCCATGAGGCCCAACCCTGTTGTTGCAGCTGATCCAGCTGATCCATCCTTTGCCACCGAACTAGATCCGTAAGATCCGGGCTTGGAGGTCGCCTCACCATCGATCTTGCTCATACCAAACGCAAGCTTGTCGAACATGGGGCTACTGCCGAATGACGAGGATGGGGACGGTAGGGGCTGAGATCCGGTGATAAAAACGGATTCGGAACGAGGCGTCTGGTTGCCACCACGACCTTTGGAAGGTGGTACGCCGACGAGTCGGGTGGGTGGTGATGTGGCATTGGCTGACGCGGCAACCTCATTCTGGATGATAGATTCGACGTCATCGATACTTATAAGAACGTTTTCAGGCTTCAGGTCTGTCGGAACATGGTCACGGGGCCCAAGGGACAGGGAAAAATAACGGACCGGTGTGAATTATGCCACAACAACGGTGCATGTAATCCAAACCTAGGAGGACTTGTTTCGCAATCTGCTTGACAAGGTGCATGGGGACGCCCTTGTTTTGATGTCGTTTGATGAGGCCGAGGAGATTTTCGCCTAGGACTTCAGAAACCATGCAGACGTGAGTTCCGTTAGGACCCTTTATGTCGGAAGTGATCCAAAAATGACATAACATGTGATCGACCGGGATGTGTGTGGGCATGGGATGAAGGAGGATTGGGGTTATCAGGGGTTGGGGCAACGGGATGAGAGTTAGATGTGATCAAACGTTGGAGCAGTTTGATCTCATCGAGAGCGGTCTCGGTGTACCTCGGCGCGGACTTTACGATTTTGAGTGCGACATGACGATTCATTCTGATCGGTTAAAAAACAGAAGGTCAGATAGACGGACTACGCGTGGGGACAAAAGTTGTGCCTGCTTACTTTGTGTCTTTGGCGAGCCATACTGTTGAGAAATGGCCCCAACCGAGTTTCCTAACCACGATATACCTGCCATCTGAAAAAGAGTCACCGATGTGAACAGGATGGTAGCCTCCCTTGACGTAGTCCTCCCAATCTTCTTCGTCTTCGGTCATGATGGATTGGGAGTGAGAAGAATAGGACGCGTGAGACATAGTGAAATTCGGGTATGCTGTAAACGAAAACGATAAGGCAAGTTCTGTCAAAAGAATACATAGCAGGCGATGATAAGACTATGTTTGATAGCAACGGGAGATAAGCACACCTGGAGCGTCTATTTGGGTATACCTTTCGCTATAAATCTGTAACAAACAAGAAAATCGACGACGACGACGATGATAACGACGACGACGACAACGACAGCGACGACGATGACTGTAAGTCTGAGAGATCGACCAGCAAAATCGCTTTGCCAATCACATACAAGAATCTATATCAGAACAAAAGACATGTGATTGGCTACCTTTGCTGACTAATACTCGACCAGATCTAACCGAAAGTGCTCAATTGCTACGAAAACTTTGTCAGTTGAATAGAGGTATCTACTAGGTCACCGGTCAAGAGATGCATCGAGGCTATCACGGTCCGTTATTTGTTCCAGACGTTCTTGCCAAACAACCGCTCTATTAGGCACCATGACCACACGCTGGTCGGCTCTTTCAACGAAATTTAGTAAATGGGTTGTGCAGACAGAGGCAGGTAGTCCAAATCTCCACCTTTTCGCCAACGACCCTCCTTCCGTTTGGAGTAAACTGATACGTTTTCCCCGCACGCATCGACGTGTACCCGTACGTTACACGTCATAATCACCACAGGCACTCATCTGCCTCATGTAATCACAATGGGTACAAACGTTGTATCAATGGCCCCTGCCGTCAAAATACGTTCCGTGTAAGCCACGAGATCGTATTCTCGAAACCAGATTAACCATCTGGGTATGTCTCTGCCTTGTGTTTACCTCTTCAGGACTTCCACGAATAGCATTGCATGCCTTAAACACGTGTACAAGTCATGACTTTTCCTGTCGTCCCTGCCACTTCCAGGTCACATACCCCAGCTTTCATAATCCTCATCCATTAATTGATGCTTACGCCCTCCCTCATCCGGTTCGGATTACACGAGGCAGCGCCTTCCAACCTGTGCTATTTATCCTTTAACTTCGCTGATCCTACATTTGTACTCCACAGCTTATCAGCATCCTGTCAGGTGCTCGATCGTACCTATACTATCCTCATCATCGTCCATGGGTCCTTTTGACGACCTTGATGATGAACAAAGGTATGTTACAACCAAATATCATGATGTCCCTCTCATCCCCCGTAGGATCAGCATCGCTAATGAACACCCCAACGATCTCGAGTCTGGGCCATCCTCTCCGTCCTCGCCACCCAGCTACCTCCGTCCTCGTCGTCAGAGTAAATCAAATTCCCGCATCGGTCACAACATACCACAACAGATGGAGGCTCAAGTAACCACCTCCTCGCTCGTCTCATCGCTCGCGATGATGAGGTCCGCGAAATCAATGCTCTCCTAGTCGTCACTTCAGAACGTCTTGAAACAGAGTCTAACCGGGCTAACAGCTCAGAACGCCGTGCGCTCGAATACTTCAACCGATTGCGTCAGGCAACTGAAAATCGTGAGCGAGCTGAACAGGATTTAGCTCGTCATCGCGAGGAGTTGAAGCTGTACAAGCTCCAGCTTGAAATGCACAAAAGGAGATTTTTCGGGCACAGGAATATCATTAATCAGGTTTCTGCTCAGAAGTGTGAAGCCGAGGCGGATGCTGCGAGAGCCAGAACCAAAGCAAGGAAGTTGCAGGAAGAGAAGATGATGATGATTGCCCACGGAGGATGGCAGGCGGCGTGGTTACAAAGAGGGCCTAACAATCGGACGTCGGCTCGGCTTCGACGAAGGAACCACGATAAGATATGATGATGAACCGGCCCGACGAGTGCATCGGTCTGCCGTCCAACCAGATGAAAGAGACCAAGAGAGGAAGAACAATCAGTGCACTCCGAACGTAATCATGTACGCGCACAACCACGGGCGTACCCGCGGTCTTCAAGACAGTATGTAAACAATATATACACGTGCAATTGTGCTCATTTTCTATTGACAGGCGTGCGCCCGGAGTCTCCTCCACCTGTTGGGCAGTATGGTACTGCGTCACACGCAGTTGCTGTTATACCAGTTCCACCACCGCACTAACCCCAGTCCGGTCCTATTCTCCTCCAGGAAGAATCACGACGCCCTCGTCGTCAACGAGTCCCTCCAGCGGAGAACGTTCACCCTGCGCAAATACGCACAGCATCTAGCCACTCAGCCGATGTTCCTCAGGATGGTTGGATACCACGAGCGGACCCACAGACATCTTACATCCCAGTCCCACCGCCACACACGGACTTTCTCAGCCCGTAGCCCGTAGCTCTAGCACACACTCGCACGACTTAGACAACCACCCACGTCACGGTCCTTCGTATGATGCCGGGGACTCAAACTACGTTCTTGTGAGACTCGCGATTTCGCATATGCCCCAACCTACCTACCCCAATTCCGGTCGCAAGCCTACACACTCCATCTCTCATGTCACGGTCGACGTCGACGCATATGTCTCAATATGAGCTTGTAAGCGCCCCTGTCGAACGACATGGAACATCGCTTCGTCAGAGGTATCTTCCGCGCACACGAGAAGTGAAAGCATACTGAACGACATACGTCATCGCGCGGTGGATATCACCCCGAGAAAAGTCGGAAGGAGGATTTAATAGAACAATGGCGTGCAGACCCAGAAGTTGTTGCTACAAAGCAACTCCTGGGACGGCCATAAGAGAATTTGTGCGATTTCTTAACCAGTATTCAATGTCAGAACACTAATTTTAATCCTCGTTTAGCAACATGTACCATCTCCCTGGACATCATCGTCCCAGGGAGTCAAACATACCCGTCCCATATACTGATTCACGTCCTTCAAGTCGAGTAGAGTCTCAACCATCGCAAGGTCCTTCCCAGAAACGGAGTCCACCGCGGATCAAGAAATCCACTCGACTACTTCAATATCAGGCAACGTTTCCAACAGCGAACACAATCGGCCGCCGTGTTTCCAAATATAACTGTTGAACCCCGGTATGTGCTCCGATATGAAATGCATATTCTGTTTACATGTTTTAATAGTCCGATGAGGCTTCGACTCCATCCGAGCATACCAATCATTCAACCCTCGAACTTCTAAGTCCAGACGCGGCACTTCGGCCCTTCCCCCCGTCTCAACGAAGAACGTTCCCGGACATCCGAAAGACATTCACAAAGACTCCACAGCACCTACCAGTCGACTGCACCTACGCAGCCTTCATGGCCAGCAGGGTTCGTGCCCGTTTCAGGGGCACCACCCGAACCGGTCTCTCAATATCCTCGCTCAAGAAGTCGAGGACCTGATGAACATTACCAGATGTCGCCTATTCCTGAGGGTATCACATACCCTAATTCGCCGCTGCGTGCTCCGTCGTCTCATGGACATCGTCGCCTGCAAGAGTCTGAGTCTGAATCGAGCTCGCCGGCACCTCTTGAGAGACCGATATCACTTTTTTCTGATCAGGATGGGTGAACAATGAATATTCTGTTATTTTTTGTATTTGTAGATTTGATTTTGACACATTCGCGCACTGTCCTTACACTACTGTATGAACTCGTCTTTTCTTTCCAGCCAGTGACTTTTTAGATGCGCTTGTTAGTATGCGGTCCTTGGGTATAGCTTTGATCATCGGCAACTACCACCAAACTATGATAGGGGTTCTGGCTGATGACTCGCCAGTAACTCACGTCATTGGAGACCCTTCGACGTCAAGCAGTGCTACTGATCGATGGCGATGATCTACGAAGACGACTGATCGAGATAGAGAGGAATAGAGTGCTTGGACATGTGTCGAAACTTTAGCTGTCTTATTAGTAAGCCGTTGCTTCATACTCGGTGGCACTGGCTTACTTTTCTTTCATTTTAAACTCTTCCAACACACGAAGCTCAGGGCCCTTACAGCGTGCTAATCATGATGCTATGCTCACCCTAATTTACGGAACACTGTTCTGTCTGATCCGTGAATGTTTGACTTGAGTCAATCATTCAATGCCAGTGACAGAATAACAGCAATACGCATACATCCCTCAGTTCAGAAGAGTCACTGACATCCGCGAAAAGCCCTCATTCAGACTCGATTTAGACTCATCCGAATTCGCACCAGAGCTTGCACCTGTAGATAATGGGATCTTGCGAGGTACAGACCATGCCGCGGGCGAACTCATTGGAGATTCGTCATATAGGAGCAGCTGGCTGTGGATATGGACCCTGCATCCGAGAAGTAAGGAATGTTTTTTTATAATGGTGGTTTGCGCACGCTCTGCATTGCTTACAGAAAATTACTCCAGGAGGATGGGTTCTTGCACTGGCTGCTCACTCTTAATACGCTATTGAAATTGTGAAGTGCTCGTTGCATGCCGATAGCGCTCAGGAGCTACGGCAATGAAGGACAGCATATTACAGAACCCCCCTATCCCAGAAGCCATTGCGATTTGTCATTCTGGAATTGAGCTCTGGATACTCTCCGTCTTCTCACAGGATAAGCTGCGGACGGATCGAGATTGATGAGTGTTTTCTCTCCCTTTTGTTTCACGTCTCCTGGATCTTGTTATGGCCCAAGGTTCTCTCCTGAAGCAAGATATGGAAGTCGTATTTCTATCTGCTGATACTCCTGAAGGCATTGGCAATTGTGGGTCATACGTCGATTCTGAGCTCCACCTGCCTCGGAAACAGTGGAACGCGGGTTTGTCCTTGGCGCTAAAGCTTTTGCGGTTCGTTCAGTTTCGGAATTTTGCTGTAGCAAGTTCACGAACAAAATGTACCCTATATGATCTCCACCCGCAAGTTCGGACTCGTCAGTGAAAGACCTATTGGCATCCTAGATACAATTCTTATCACTCAGCATCCGATATGTGCATGAACAGTGTTGAGGCGTCTGTGCAAGATTGTTTTGTAGTTCAGCGCTGCACTGGTAACGCGTTTGCAACCTGGAAACCGTGTGCACCAGTCCCCCCTCAACAGATTATAGACGAATGAAGTCTATATCGTTTCTTCTTACTATGATTGTGCATGTTCATTCATTGTTTTCTTGGTTTACGCATTTGACAGGTCTAACCAGCTATTATTATCGCAGCTATCCCACGACACTTTGACCAGTGCTACAAATGTATCGAGAGTCGATTATCATTGCATTGAATCTATGCTCGGACATCTGGTGGCTAGCATAGACCTCTTTGGCTGCCGTTCAGAGGACAACCAAAAGCGCTGAGTGAAACAAGTCCCCAGCATCTGGTACCTACTCTCTCCTCTTAAAGTTAATCCCCATGGACGGTGAGGCTTTCTCATTTTGATGTGGGCAGCTATGTGCGCTTATCTTGATTTCGGCGATACTGCAGCGGACACCCTACTGTAAGTATCCTGCATTCAACAAAAAAGATACCATTGTACAGTGGTGGGCAATAGCCACACTGCAACTGTGGAACAATTTCTTATGTCAGTTCTTGTCCACCACAGAGCAGCCGATCGAGTCAATAACACAATGGCCTCCACAAGTGGACATCCACCCAAACAAAACCTGTCGATCTGTGGATTCTTATACAATGGGTTATATAAGACGGATCGTGGCAAATGGTTGAGCGCTACCAACAGCTCTTAATCATGCATAGCGCTCTTGCAGTCGACGATATCGTTTACAACATACTACAACATGTCAAGTCCTCCGGGACGGACCTGGTAAACGTGGCAATGACCTGCTCCACGTTATCAGAACCCGCCCTCGATATGCTGTGGCGTGAACAGTCAAATTTGGGACCCCTCATAATGTGTCTACCGCAAGACACCTGGGAGGTCACGGAGAATCGTACTATTGTAAGTGATGTCTGCCATTTGACTCTTGATAAGACGATGCTCACCGTACTCCAATTTGTAGACATTTTCCCGCGAGCCGCTACTTACGGAATGGGAGCGCGTCAGAATCAATGCGTCAAGGATACGCAGGATTATTAGTCGCAATTGTTTTAAACGATGCTCCGAGACCAAGTGGCCCGGTCCTACGGCGACTTTTCGAGCTCTTTCCCGCCTGCCGTACTCTTCCCCAACTTGTGTGTATTTCATTTCGATGCGGTGTCCTCGTCTGCCGGAGATTCGTTCGGACTTCTTGCTACTTTCGCCAATTCTTCTTGCCCGGACTGGAAACCCTGGCATTTAATATACCGTCAAGAGTCCCGACGTATGAGGTAGAGCAATTGATTGATGCTCTTCCCGCGGAAGCGTCTGGCCTGCGGCAACTGTCGATAATGACGGCCCAGGGTCTCTCGGCCTGTCGTTTTGTGATACCAAAGCTACCAAAGTTGATTCGACTGTCTATGCGCGCATTCGACATGAGCCTGATGACGCAGAACATTGCCAATATCCAGCATTCGCGCTGTCTCCAAAGCCTGACACTTACTTTGCACGGACTATCTGATATGGAAAACCAACTATCAGGTAATATGCCACTCGAATTGAGTACCCTCAAACGCCTCTTTCTCCGTGGCCCTGGCTTGCAAAATTGCACATCCTTCCTTCTTCAAGTTGCCACCCCACAATTATCAGTCATCGAGATTGGCACGTACCGTACATCTGCCAACCCAGAAGAAATCACCGCGTTCATCGAATCCCTATCCACGTCTTGCCAAACATTTGGATCCCTGGAAAAGATTTCTGTGGTCGACTGTTCGCCCGGCCAGTGGTGGGAGCACGAGTCTCAAAGCGAACTCCATTCTCGGATTTTCCGGCCTTTGCTCCGGTTCAGAAGGCTGTCGACTGTCGAGTTTGTTGACATTGGAAAATTCCGCCTTGACGACGCGTTCATCGAGGACGTTGCAGCTGCTTGGCCGTATCTTCGTGTACTGAAGTTCGTCTCAGAGAAAGTCAGCGATTGCGACGTCACCTTTACCGCAATGCTTTCATTGGCGTCAAGGTGCAAGTTGCTGCGTTGCCTACAATTAACGTTCGATGCCACACATTTTCCGACACTTCCCTGTGCGCCGGATGGGACCCGGGAACTTTGGACCACGCAAACAGCCCTCAGCGAGCTGCATGTCGGACGCTCGAAGGTGTCGGCAGGGTCACAATTCCACCTCTTCCTAGCTGTGGTGTTTCCAAATCTAGTTGATCTCTCCCGGTATCATTCGGCGTATCGTTTGGCCGATGGCATTGTATGGCGCCAATTAAAAGAAGCATGGGAACAACTGGCGATCCATCTGGAAAACATTTCCTGCCGTGCCAGCCTCCTGGCAGAACTGCCTAGTGCAACTACAGCCTTAGGTGGAGGAGGACCAAGCGAGGGATGAGGACCAAGCGGGGGATGAGGAATGGGAGGGGAGGATAATGATGACTTACTGTGAGGATCATAGGAGATCTCAGTGTAACCCGGTCGGAGCTCTACACGATACGTTATGTGCTCTGTATGCTTATGTTCCTAGTATTGGTGTGTGCCTGAAAGTGGCAACACGTGAACAAATGTAAATTACGTCGTGGTTCACTATGTTCGCTGTACATTTATAGGTCTGATGACCGCTTTGAATCAAGTCCTATCGTTTCATCGGGCTTATACTAAGAGCTATAGAACGCCATGGAACATATACTCAGGGGATTTGGCGTGTCCTGCTGTCAAACCTGACCCTGCCATCCGAATAGTGATACATAAGCACGAGAAGTGCGAACCTCCGTGAATCGGTGATATACGATGGGTTTTGGCCAGCCTATAGTTTCGAGGAGTATCCGTTGAACGATCAAATCTGAGACGAGCGCAAGGGCAAAAAGCCAGAGCGAACACAGCATAAAAAAAGAATACAGTACAGTACAAGCCCCACAGAATACATCTGACACAGAAGAGTACGTGCGCATACACTCCCCTGGCACAACAAAAAACCTCCAAATACAACCTACATATTTTTACTTTTTGCACCCATAAATATAAACCACTTCCGAAATGATATAGTTGTTCGAGGATTCCTTAGTGGTATCGCGCTCGATCTGTTTCCCTCTTTTATTCGTCTCCGGACCTACTTTTTCGACTCGTACCGGTTCTGCGCCCTAGACGCTCTGCACCAACGATCTACCCAAAGACATCGCCCCAGATGCCCGATTCACACGGCCTCGCAGCCCAGTGGTCGACAACAGTCCGCGCGCCGCCACACCCACCCCGGGTGCAGCTGAACAGTGCGAAGTCCAGGACAAGTACGATTCCATGCGATCTACGCGCAGACGCACATGATTAGCGCCACCAAAACCAGTCAAAATATAGCATGGCAGACGTACGATAAGTTCGCGAGTGTAATCGTCAAACGGCTTCCGACGTTCGGGGTTCTTCGGACTCAGAATTAGACTTGCGTTAAGACAGGAAATGTAATCTGGGGGCGTTACCCTTGTTCGTCCATGAAGTCTACGCTGATGTCTTGAGAGAAAGGCAGCTGCTGCAGGCTGCGAATAACATCCATTAGTGTGGCTGTGACCGGATCGATGTCATGCATGTTCTCGAAATAAGTATCGCCGATACCAGGGGCGCCATATGCGGTGTCGTCATCACGCTTCCTCGCCTCAAGGAGACTTTGAGGGGGGTGGGAGAAGAGGGATGCAGAATATGTGTACGGATACGAGGTGTGCAAGAGCGTACAGTGTACGTGAACCCATACCGAGTATAGTAATCCTGAAAATGAGGGTCAGTGTCGGGATGGGAGACAGGAAACGAGAGAAATGCAACGCACCTCGCTTGGTGCTCCCCTTGCATACCTGACTTGTAACTTGGTTAAATTGGGAAACGCGCGACGATGGCCAGCACGACTTCGTCGTCCCAATCTCCCACGAACAGGGAGAGCTCTTGCAACCCTCGACAAGTAAGAGTGCACTTCTACAAATGCTTGGTAGAGTGGCGTGAGCACAACCTCATCGCGAATATCGAGCTTGACAATTTTGCGTCCGGAACAAATAGAAGAGATGGCAGATAAAGGGGCAGAAACAGCACAGAGAGCTGGAAGAGCGCTTGGTGACAGTGAAAGAGCGGGAACGTGGTTTCGCAAGATGAGAGTGCGGAGGGAGGGAAGACTCTCAAGGAACGAGATGAAGCCCGGCGGAGCTCTAGGGCGGTCTTTATGGATGGGGAACTTGACGTCAAGAGCAGTGAGCGGGGAAGGTGGGAAGGAAGATGTGAAAACGCGATGTAACCAGACAGTGTGGTCATATGTGAGGGTGCGGATGGTGGGGACTCTTGCAAGCATTCGTAGACGGGTACGGGGATTCCGAGGATTAGTGTCGTCGTCATTAGATGGGAATACAGCGCGAATATCAAGGAGGGTGAGGGATTGAAGTTTCAGAGAAGTGTGGTCATTATCTGTATAGACACCAGCGAAGTGAACGGTGCAGTGCACAACTGCTAAATCACGCAAGTACGGAAGGTCGCGCAGAAATGGAGTGAAAAATCTCGCGGGAGAAGCATACCGCGGAAGACGAGCTGTCTGAGAGAGGTGAAGGACGTGACTTGAGTGAGGAGATTGTCGTAGACGGTAGCGTCCGCAAGGAAGCGTGGTTGATAGGCATCCTTTATTTGGAAGAAGCGATACCTGTTTGTTTGCCGGTTGAGGGGAATAGGCGTCCAGTCGTCAGCTTCCGTCAAGGAAACGATAGCGACAGCTTCTTTCAGCTGCTCCACGGTGCGTTCTACGAGGGGGGATATACCAAGAAGAAGAGCGCGAGGTGAAGGCTGAATGGAAGACAACGCTGAGTACGCCGTTACAAACGATGTAGGGGACGTCAGGATCAGATGCTTGTAGAGAAGGCGAATGGCGATTGCATGAAAGCTTTTCGAGGTCAAGACAACGTTACGAAGCGACTGTGAAGGCAGATACTCGAAAATTGAAAGCCAGAGTTCATTTGGAAGCGTCATTGAATAGACGACTGTCGACGAGGACGCAGCTGTAGACAAAATCTTCATGCACAATCTTAAGTACTTAGTACTTACTAGCAAGTTACAAGGTCCGTTCTTCTACTATGTATCACGTGATTGATCAATGTTTCGGACTTGGAAGGCTGTTAGCGCCGAGACGCGCGTTTGACGAGTGAAATGCAAGTTCGATGGGAATTTGAATAGATACAAGAAGACGGTTTTGACGGAGTATCGATGAGACTTTTAGAGACGGGCAGCACTTGTATATGCCCAAGGCTTACTAAATGATGAAAGGATAAAGGCAAAAATGCCCTGGTCAAAACACGAGCAAATACATATTAATCTTGATCAATGCTTGAGCCTTGGCGTGGCGAATTTAATTGGTTACGCGTCGTCTCTATGATACTCTATCACGACTCTCACGAGAGCGCACTCATGCTTTCAGAGGCTGTGACAGCGCAACCCTGTCCAGTTCATGGTGGGGGACGCTTTGATAAGGCCGAGGCGCGGTCAAGCCTTGACTCGGAAGAGCGGGAGTCATATTCACTTAGTATCAAGGCGGATGGTCTACAAGACCTTTGCATCACCATCGAAGACAAGCTGATTCAGTTCTCTCCACCAAAGCCGCTGTGCAAACGTTCTTGCCCATCTGTCCGTGGAACCGTTGTGATCTCAGGCTGCCTGACTTGCCTAGCAAGTCTCGATGGTTTGGACTGTCAGTCGCGGCCAATCGTTCGCCTAGCACAGCCTTTTGGCGCTCTCTTCCTAGCCCAGCAACGTGGTTGAGGGTACAAAAGAGTCGCTGAGGGTCGCAATATCATCGCACGAGTCAGGGGCGTGGCTTCTGTTTCTGACGTGCATGTAAGGACGCTTCAAGTATTGTAGTGGTAAGGATTTCTGACGCGTTTTCATTCATATCTTGACAGTTACAGTACCGCTGGTAGGCATTTGTATCATGCTTTCGCTGACTTACAACAAGAGAGCGAGCCATCACAGTTGTATCATCGAATCGCTACTGAGGGAGCCAGCTGAGAAGCTGTTGTTATATCAACTCACTGTGCGTCAATTACGCTTCGCCTGACTTCCACGCGCAACAGGCTATCCCTCAGGCTTTACTAGTTCACTAGTCACTTGACGCTCAATCTGACGCTCGACTGGGCGGTTGGCGCTAGGCGAGTATGAGTGCCGATGGCCGGGACAACTTTAGTATCGATGTTAATATTATCATCTCTTTCTCTCGTTCCGCGCCTGCTTAGCCAGTCCGGTGGGAAATCTCTTTCACGGCTACATTGATACATACCGTCGCTTATCGAACTGATCAGGCCTGGGGCCCACAAAAGCCACGACAGATCCGATCCACTCCCTTGGCTGCCATTGGTGGACTTTCCTCCCAGACTATTTCCTTGACCAAGCTTATGAGGGTACCACGAGTTCCAACGCAAGGCATGTAGTAAGGAGCTAGAATTAAACAAAATGAAATAACCAATACAGTAGACGTATAGATGAATGGATCATACGCAGAACATCAACAATTAACCTACATATAACAAGTATAACCTACCATATTTACGACGAGTTACACGCCATGACATGGTGAATAGCCATGTCAACACCGAAATACTTAGACGCCAAGTTCGACATGTTTCCCTATTTTCATTCCTTCATTCTCTATACCCTTTTCGTCTTGATTGCCAATTCTGCCCCAACGCATTGCGAACTAATAATCTCCTAGTCACGTCACCGTGAATATTGTCGGTGGGGACAGGGTTATTGATATCCAGTGTCACGTGCTTTTGATTCAGCATTTTTTATGATATCTGCGAGTGACCTCGCGTGGCAAGGTGGCGACTCGAAAACGTCGCCAAAAATGCCTGATTCGCACTGCCTCGCAACCCAGGAGTCAGCAGGGTCCGCGCGTCGCCACACCCACCCCGGGTGCAGCTGAACAGTGCGAAGTCCAGGACAAGCACGGTTCCAAGCGATCTACGTGCAAAGACGGACATGATCAGAAAATCCAAAAGCACGGCCCGGACACAACATAGTAGACGTACGACAAGTTCACGAGTGTAATCATCAAATGGCTCCGTCTCCGACACTTGAGGTTCTTCGAACCCGGGCTCAAAGTCGTGATTATTATCGGCAAATTGGTCGAGATGCTTCTGATGCTCGGCAACCGTGCACCCTTGGCACGGCAACCCGACGGGAGTCCCATGGCAGCAATACACAGTTACGGTGTACGCGTCCATGTCTATGTCCACATCCAAGTCCATGTCGGTGCCTTGATAGATGGCAGGAAGTAAATTGTGAGGGTTGCGAGCGCGGCACCGGTAGGGTACGCCATAATAATCCTCGCTGTTATCCTGCTCCAGGCTGGTATCTGTGTCCAGATCGATGTCGTGCATGCTCTGGAAATAAGTATCGTCGATACCAGGAGCCCCATATGCTGTGTCATCATCAAGGTTGTTCGTCTCGAGGAAATTTTGAGGAGGTGGGGGCAGAGGGATGCAGAAGATGTGCACAGATACGAGGTGTGGAAGAGTGTACAGTGTACGTGAACCCATACCGATGATGGTGTCCTGGAAATGAGGGTCAGCGCCGGCGAAAGAAACAGAAGGGAAATATAACGCACCTCACTTGGCCCTCCTCTTGCATACCTGACTTGTAACTTGGTTAAATTGGGAAAATGTGCGACGATGGCCAGCATGAGTTCGTCGTCCCAGTCCCCTACGAATAGCGAAAGCTCTTGCACCATCGACAAGTCGGAATGCACTTCTGCAAATGCCTTGTAAAGTGGCGTAAGCACAGCCTCATCGCGGATGTCGAGTTTAACAATGCTACGGCCGGAACAGAGAGAAGTGATGGTAGAGAAAGGGGCAGAAATAGCACAGAGGGCTGGAAGAGCGCTCGACGACAATGAGAGTGCGGGTACGTGGTTTCGCAGGATAAGAGTGCGGAGGGAGGAAAGAGTCTCGAGGAACGGGATGAAGCCCAGCGGAACTCTGGGACGGTCTTTCTGGACGGGGAACTTGACGTCGAGAGCAGTGAGCGGGGGAGATGGGGAGGAAGATGTGAAAGCGCGGTGTACCCAGACGGTATGATCATATGTGAGAGTGCGGAGGGTGGAGGCTTTTGCAAGCAGGCGTAGACGGGTACGGGGAAGATTCATGTCGTCATCATCGGATCGAGAAGTAGCGCGAATGTCAAGGAGGGTGAGAGTTTCGATTTTCAGGGAAGTGTGGTCAATATCTGGAGGGGCACGGACGAAGGGAACGGTGCAGTGCACGACCGCCAAATCGCGCAAGTGCGGAAAGTCGTGTACAATGGGAGTGGAAATTGCCTGGGAGAATCATACCGCGGAAGACAAGCTGTCTGAGAAAGGTAAATGAAGTCACTTGTGATAGGAGAGTGTTGTAGAGGGTTGTATCCGCAACCAGGCTTGGTCGGTAGGCATCCTTGATTTCAGAGAAAAGAGACCTGGTTGATTGGCGATTGTCATTAACGTTGACAGTAATTGGTTTCAACCCGTCAAAGGAAACGACAGCGACAGCTTCTTGTAGTTGCTCTACGTTGCGTGCGAATGGGGAAATACTAAGAAGAAGAGCGTGCGGTGAAGGCTGGATGGAAGATAACACGGAGCGAGCCGTTACAAATGATGTCGGGGACGTCAGAATTAGATGCTTGTAAAGAAGACGGATGGCGACTGCATGAAATTTCTTCGAGGTCAAGACAACGTTACGAAGCGACCGCGAAGGCAGATATTCGAAAATTGGAAGCCAGAGTTCATTTGGAAGCGTCATCGACGAAGTCACTTTCGACGAAGACGCAGCTGTCGACATTGACGATGTCATCCTTATGCACGATCCAAATTGCAAGTTACGAGAATCAAGCTCCTTTATGGCTTCACGTCAGATGCCGACACCAAATAAAGGCACACACTTTTTGTAATTATATCGTCTTTCTATTCCATATCAATGTGTGTACCATATCATGTAGTAAGTGAACTGCATGCAATAGTCATGTGTAACGTATCGACAAGGACAAAGTAAGCAAGTGTAGGGTATCAAAATGAATCTTGCTTGATCATATCAACCAACTGTTTTGCGACTTCTTTAGATATCCCGCAACGCTTCGTGAGATGAGGGACAAGATCCTTGTTTTTAATATGCAAACCCCCTCCAAGTAGCTCCTTCAGCTTACGCATGAACGAGACAAACAAATTGTCCCCTCCGATCCATGCTTGCCTCTGCCCGTCAGCAACATAGGTCTTCACAAGTTCGCGGATCGTGGCGCGCGATTGTTCATAAAGATTTTTGTGTCTGCCTTCCAGATAATTAGCGGCCGTGATGCACGCGTGACCAGTGACATTGATCTGATATTTGTCGAGGTGGGCATGTTCTCGATCCCACCAGTCCTCCATCCTCTGCTCTCTCTCGAGGTTCGTAATCACAAGAACAATGGGAACCTTCTTCTCGCAGAGGAATTCGTGAAAGAGTCGGTAGTTGCTCTGGAGCATACCAGAGACTCTGCCGGCGCGCATACAGAACAAAAGCAAATCAATGCCGCCTTCCGATTCCAATTTCTTGATAAGCCGATAGGCGTTCTCGACGGACTCAAGATATTCTTTGATTCCAAGCTGCGGTTCCTCGAGTCCAACGGTATCGAAAACCTTATAGGACACGCCGTCGAATTCGATGGGATATTCTCGCCACTGCAGCGTACAGCGTTGCATGCCAGGAGATGTGTGTGCTATATCCTTTCCTGCCATGAGGTTGACGACGGAGCTTTTGCCTGCACCTGCCTCTCCAAAGAGTACGATATTTTTAGTCTTCCTAATTCATTAATGTTTAGCAACATACGGAGCAACACTTATATGGGGACCAAGCACATACCTTGCGAGAGGAATAGTAGTCACTCTGGGGGGTCCCAATATTCTGCGGGCAACGCTGTTCAATGAGGTTGCAGACGGCGCGGTATGACTGTTCGCGGCGCCGCCTGTGTTCATCTGTGTCAGCTTGATCGATGGTCACCGCGGTAATACACGCGTGGCAAGCAAAGTTCATTCCAAGGTCTGAGATGGATTTCTCGTTATTCCTCCACCAATCTTCCATTTCTGGTTCTCGGTCTTCTAGGGCTGTGACGACAAGGACGATAGGCACTCCAACTTTTCCCTTCAATTCGGAGCGCACTAACTTGTAGTTGCGCTGGAGCGCCCGGGCGTCCTGTGTGCCTTGTACGCAGTATATGAGAAGATGAATACCCCGGTTCTTCTTAAGAGTTCTAAGAAGCGTCTTCAGAGCTGTCCTCGCTTGAGCAGTGGGGACTGTCCCCTGGGGGCCTTCATCAAGACCTGCGGTCTAGTTCAGTGACGCCCACAAAAAGTGGCAAATTATACTGACCGGCTGTGTCGAACAGCTGTACCTTCACGGTTTTGTCCTGAGTCATAACGTCGTGCTCGTATACAGTAGGTTCAGTTGTGCATCCAGTGGCGTCGCGGGATGTCGGCGCCTTTTCCTTCCCAATAATCAAGTTGACCAAGGAACTTTTACCAGAACCTGTGTCTCCAACTATGACAACATTGCATGTGTCTGCGCGACGGAAAGCTTCCTCGACTCGATGATAGTTGAGGGAAACTGCAGTCTGATCTGAGGAGTGAGACTGATTTCCAATTGAGGTCACGCTGAGGAAAATCCAAAGACCACATACGGTGAAAGATGCTCTCGCAGGAGACCGTAGCGGCATTGCAAACGTCGAAAACAATGAAAAAGATTGTCTTGACTTGCGTCGTCGATGTTTTTGAGTATTGATCCTGCCTTCAGTCGCCGATTCGTTAGAACATGATGTGTCCAGGCGCCTGGCAGATTTGAAAATCGATCACGACGCCTGGATTCAGCATGTTCCATGCATGCGAGCAAGTCATTGTCATGGTATGGTATGTAGTTAGCTTCGAATACCCTGCCAGGTGCCGTCCTGGAGTACTCGTGCCAGCGAGTCTTCTGAGTATGACAAATAATTAATAAACGGTTATATTCTTACGTTACTCTACTGCTTATGGCTTGGCAGCCGAATGGTGTGCCAGTAACAGGTAACAGGGCATCGTGACACTCCATTCGAAGAAGGTATGTAAGTAGTTGTTCTTTGGCAAAGGCCGGCCGATGGTTGACTCTGAGGATCTGATTGAAATATGATAACGTCAGGCTGGCCTGACGTCCACGTCAAGTTCAAGTGCAATGCCTTTCTCGCATGCATGGAACATGCTGAATTCATACGTCGGGATCGATCTTCAAATCTGGCGCCTGGACACGTCCGTCATGTTCTAACGAATCGGGGACTGAAGGCAAGACCAATACTCAAAAACATCGACGACGCAAGTCAAGACACCCTTTTTCGTTGTTTTCGATCTTTGCAATGTCGTCGGCTGTTTGGAGAGCATCCGAGTCGTCCACCGTATCCGTATGTGGTGTCTAGTTCTTCCTCAGCACAAAGTTAACTTGAAGTCAGTCCCATATCCCAGTTCAGAGTTCGGCTGACCATGGTTACCATCATCGTCTGGATGCTACCATTGTTGAAGAAACAGGCGCTGATCGAAGTTCCTTAGTCAATTCGACCACTGGGATGAAAACGGCGCCGATGTCCCCCGATGCAGTGTCTTCTTCCGAGGCTGGGAGAGCATCGTTCACTGAATCCGTATGTGGTCTCTGGCTGTTCCCGAGCGTGAAGTTAACTTTAAGTCAGTCCCATGACTTAGATCAGAGTGCAACTGACCACAGCTATCATCGAGTCGAGGATGCCTCGCATTGCACAGACGCATGCAATACTTCTGTTATCGGAGAAACAAGAGTTGGTAAAAGTTCCTTAGTGAACTCGACTGCTAACACACAAACGGCGCCGATGTCCCTCGACACAATGTCATCGTCTCCTCTTGACGCTGGGAGAATATCGTCCACCGAATCCGTATGTGATGTGTGGCTCTTCCTCAGCATGATGTTAACTTGAAATAAGCTCCATGCCTCAGTTCACAGTGCAGCTAGCCACCGCTCGGATCAAGTTGAGGATGCTTCACATCGCGCAGACACGTGTCGTGCTACCACTGTTGAAGACACGGGCGCTTGTCAAAGATCCTGGGATGACCTGACCACTGGAACGCAAAGGGAACCATCGTCTCGCAGCGCAATGCCGCCACCACCTGGGAGAGCATTGTCCACAGTATGTGGTGTCTGACGCTTTCTCACCACGATGTTAACCCGAAGTCAGTCCAACATCTCAAATCAAAGCGTTGCTTTCCCCACCTTTAATCCAGTCGGGGAAGCTTTATGTTACACAGACAAAAGCAAGGCTGTCGGGCCTGTTATTGTTAGAGACACAGGAGCTGGTAAAAATTACTGGCCCAACTGGCCCAACTGGTTGATTACGGTCCACACCCCGGGTCGGGGTGCGGCTTACCCCCACTATCGTCGGATTGAGGGAAGCTTTACGTCGCACGGACACATGCAATGTTGTCATAGTTGGAGACACAGGTGCTGGTAAAAGTTCCTTGGTCAACTTGATTATTGGGAAGGAAAAGGCGCCGACATCCCGCGACGCCACTGGATGCACAACTGAACCTACTGTATACGAGCACGACGTTATGACTCAGGACAAAACCGTGAAGGTACAGCTGTTCGACACAGCCGGTCGGTACAATTTGCCGCTCTTTGTGGGCGTCACTGAACTAGACCGCAGGTCTTGATGAGGGCCCCCAGGGGACAGTCCCCACTGCGCAAGCGAGGACAGCTCTGAAGATGCTTCTTAGAACTCTTAAGAAGAGCCGGGGCATTCATCTTCTCATATACTGCGTGCAAGGCACACAGGACGCCCGGGCGCTCCAGCGCAACTACAAGTTATTGCACTCCAAAGTGAAGGGAAGAGTGCCTATCGTCCTTGTCGTCACAGCTCTAGAATACCGAGAACCAGAGATGGAAGACTGGTGGAGGGATAACGAGAAATCCATCTCAGAACTTGGAATGAACTTTGCTGGCCACGCGTGTATTACCGCAGTGACCATCGATCAAGCTGACACAGATGAACACAGGCGGCGCCGCGAACAGTCATACCGTGCCGTCTGCAACCTCATCGAACAGCGTTGCCAGCAGAATATTGGGACCCCCCAAAGCGATTACTATGCCTCCCACAAGGTATGTATTTGGTCGCTAGGTCCCACTTGCGCCATATTAAGCTAAATATCGATAAATTAGGAAGACTAAAAAACATCGTACTCTTTGGCGAGGCGGGTGCAGGTAAAAGCTCAGTCGTCAATCTCATGGCAGGAAAAGAGATAGCTCTCACATCTCTTGGCATGAAACGCTGCACGCTGCACTGGCAAGACTATGTCATCGACTTCGATGGAGAGTCTTATAAGGTGTTTGATACCATTGGAATCGAGGAATCGGGACTTGAAATGGAGGAGTACCTCGTGGCAGTCGCAAACGCCTATAGGTTCATCAAGACGTTGGATGCAGAAGGCGGCGTTGACCTTCTTTTGTTCTGCATTCGCGCCGGGAGATTCACTGCTGCGCTTCAGAGCAATTACCGGTTCTTTTATGAATTCCTCTGCGAGAAGAAGGTTCCCATTGTTCTTGCGATTACGAACCTTGAAAGAGAACAGAGGATGGAGAACTGGTGGGATCGAGAACATAGCATCTTCCCCCGATTTGGAATCCACGTCGCTGGTCATGCATGCATTACTGCCGCCAATGGATTAGATGGCAGGCACCAGCAACTTTATGAAGAATCGCGCATTGCAATCCGCACCCTTGTCACGAATTATATCATTGGCGACCACAATGGCGTAGTATGGACAGGAGGGAACAATGTGTTCGTATTGTTGGTGCGTGCGCTGAAGAAGCTTCTTGTAAAGAATACGCATATCAGAAAGATGAACCTTACCGGTCAACTCACGAAACGTTGCGGTATGCCTCGAGAAACTGCAGGACAGTTGGCTGATATGATCGAGCAAGGGGAGGTCAGAGTAGATACAGCTTGACTTGCGTCTTTTTTTCCTCTTCTGCTTGCAGATCATCGATATCCTTGAAGGATACAGATCTAGGCGTTTCTTATTCCCGCTTCCTTATCACTGCGTACAATACAATCGATTATCTCTCCCAATTTGAATATAAACGTTGTTCGGGATGGAGCACACTGTTTTGGGAAATTCACGGCATTCTATCGCCTTCGAAGGTCAGCAAGTCGTTCTGGCGCCCTTTACACACTCTTCAGCTAGCGCTGAACACACTCACTGGCAGAGCTACTAGTACTTTACAGTCGAAATGTCAGAGATCCAACCCATGATTGCGCCGCAGGAGGACGGTTCTGGTAGTGTACCAGAAACAGCCGCACATGAATCACGGTCCACTACATCCGACGCCCATACACACCAGGAGGTGGGACTCGGAGAGTATCGGGAGTAGAATCGTTTCCTACCAGTGCGCACTATCGTTGTTCTGGCTTGATTGACTTGTTTATGTTTCTGATAGATTGCAAATGTCTTCCGTATCCGAGTCATGAAGCAGTCTGTTCCACATAATACCGCTAAGATCGCCAAGGACTCGGATGCCAAGGAGTGCGTCCAGGAATGTGTGATGGATGTTAAACAAATTACACTCTTGGCATAAATTGACACTCCATCCAGACTAGTAGCCAGACTGTCTTTGTATTAGTAGTGTAATACCCTAGTGTCCGTCATGCTAAACCACACGTGGTAATCATGTATGATGTATCGACGAGGACAAAATAAAGAAGCGTAAGGTAAGTATCAAAATCATGATGGTTCTTACTTGATCATATCAGCCAACTTTTTTGCGACCTCCTTGGATATCCCGCAACGCTTCGTGAGATGAGGAACAAGATCCCTTCTGCTCACACGTGGACTTCCTACAAGTAACTCCCTGAGCTTGCGCATCAACGAGACGAACAGGTTATCCCCTCCTATCCATGCTTGGCGATGCCCGTCAGCAGTAAACTGCTGAACGAGCCCACGGATTTTGAGGCGCGATTCTTCATAGCGGTCTGTCTGTGTGCCAGCTGGCAGTCTATCAGCGGCAGTGATGCACGCGTGACCAGCGACATGGATCTCATGTTTTCGGAGGTTTTCATGTTCTTGATCCCACCAGTCCTCCATCCTCTGCTCTCTTTCGAGGTTTGTGATTACAAGGACAATTGGAACCTTCTTCTCGCAGAGAAATTCGTGAAAGAGCCGGTAATTGCTCTGAAGAGTGGCGGTCATTCTTCCGGCGCGAATGCAGAACAGAAGCAGATCGATACCGCCTTGCTTGTCCAATTCCTTGATCAGTGCATAGGCGTTTTCGACGGAGTCAAGGTACTCTTCCATTCCAAGCTGCGGTTCCTCGAGTCCAACGGTATCAAAAACCTTGTATGATTCGCCACCGAATCCGATGGTGTATTCTTTCCAGCGCATCGTACAGCGGTCCATACTAGCGGATGTGGCCGCTACCTTCTCTCCCGCCATGAGGTTCACGACTGAGCTTTTGCCTACTCCACTCGCTCCAAATAGTACGATATTCTTATGCTCCTTACTAATTATTGATGTTTAGCAGGATATCGGAGCAATGCGCGTCTGACGACGAAGCACGTACCTTGCAGGAGAAATTGTAGGCACCCTGTGAACCCCCGTCCCACTCTGCGGGTAATACTGTTCGATAAGATTGCAGACAGCGCAGTATGACTGTTCGCGGCGCTTCCTGACCTCATCTGTATCACCTTCGTTAATGTTTAGCGCGGTAATACACGCGTGGCTAGCAAAGTTCATCCCGAGGTCTGAGATGGATTTCTCGTTATTCCTCCACCACTCTTCCATCTCCGGTTCTTGGTCTTCCAGACCTGTAACGACAAGGACGATAGGAACTCTTCCTTTCACTTCAGAGTACATTAACTTGTAGTTGCGCTGGAGCGCCCTGGCGTCCTGTGTGCCCTGCACGCAGTACACAAGGAGATGGATGCCCCCATTCGTCGTAAGAGTTCTAAAGAGCTTCTTCAGACCAGTCTGGGCTAGCTTGTTGGGGACCGTTCCCTCGGAGCCCCTCATCGAAGCCTGCTGTCTAGTTCAGTGACGGCCATGAAGAGCGGCGAACTATACTGACCGGCCGTGTCGAACAGTTGTACCTTCATGAACTTGTTCTGAGTCACGACGTCATGCTCGTACACGGTGGTTTCGGATGTACATCCCCTGGCGTCAGGGGATGTTGGCACTGCCTGCGTCTTGGTAATCAAGTTGATCAAGGAACTTTTGCCAACGCCTGTTTGTCCAAAAATGACAACATTGCATGTGTCCGTGCGACGTGAAGCTTCCTCGAGTCCGAGACATTTACAGCCAGCTGCGTTCTGATCTGCGGTATGGAACTGACCTCAAGTAAACTTCATCTGAGCAAGAGCCAGACGACACATACTATGGACGATTGTCTCTCAAATGGCGGCATTGCCACGTCGAGGGACGCCAGGGTCACTTTCTGCTTAATCATCCAGTTGGGTCAGTAACGTTTACTAGTGCCTATGTTTCCAACGATGACAGCATTGTCACGGTGGTGTGCGTCTGTGCAATGTGGGGCATCCTCGACTGGATGACAGCTGCGGCCAGCTACGCTTTGTTCAAGTTCTGACGTCTGGAACTGACTCCAAGTTAATTCTATGCTGAAGAAGAGCCAGACACCACATACTGATACGGTGGACGATGCGGCACTCCTGAGAGCGGATGTCATTGCAAAGATCGGAAACAACGAAAAGGGCGTCTTGACTGGCGGTGACGGCGGTGTTTTTGAGTCTTGCCTTCAGTCCCCAATTCATTAGAATGTGACAGGTCCGCACGCTAGCTTTAAAGATCGATCCTGGTACCCTTGGATTCAGCATGTTCTGTGCATGCGAGAACGATGGGTAACATAATTATGTACTAGTACTATCGGTTACGTTCTATTTGTGATCGCCATGAGTTCATGGTACCCTGTTATCAGTCGGTTCTTACTCGGTTCTTTCGAGTTTCTCCAAACCCTGCACAGACAAAGTCCGAACATCCTCACGTCATTCACAACGAAAAGACCCCAGGCTCTGCTCAACATGTCCGCTTCAGCTTAATGCTGCGATTTTTATTTATTAAAAAATCCAATTTATTGTCTTTGGGGTCGTAGACCCTGTATTAGACATAGCCCTGAACTCGGGGGGCTTACTCCCGCTAATCTATCGTATGCTGCGATTATTATCGAGCGTATATAACGACCTCAAGATATCCTCGCTCCCCGCATGTTTCGAATTCCCTTCCCTTACTCTGTCGGTTCGATCTTCCGAGTCTCTTCATCACATGTTCAAAGTCTAAATGTCCTCACTTTTGCATGCTTCAAGCTCCTCCATGACATCTGTTGTCATTGTCTTCCTCTCATCAATGTCTTTGGATCCCTCACCTTCGTACCGTTCCCAAACCGTTCCCATATGTACCGCGCTCTCATTACTAACATGGTGGTCGTGTCATTTGTATCCTAGCGTGTAGCAATGAATATATTTTCAAGTTTACGCCAAAACGCGAAGCCTGCTCGTGGCTGTAAAATGGGGTCTTGTTGTAGGGATGGGGAGGTAATATGGACAAGCAAAAGATGAGTTAGTTTGAACCAAACGCAGAACCCTTTGCGAGGCCGGCTCATGGCTGTAAAATGCGTCAGAATGTCTTGTAGTAGGTTGGGTTGATTGAGGTTCGAGTGGCGCGCAAGCATGGTTGAAACAACGAGGCTGTATTATATTGACATAATCTAAGTACTCACCCACGAAGTGCACCGTCAAGAGTACTGAACTGCGAGATGGGAACATGGGTAAGGTGGAGTGGAAGTAGCGAGTCGTCGAACTCGCTAGTCACAACTCGGTTTGCAGTGATATAAGCGTATACAGTATGCTGCGCCGGCCACAGACACGGCTACGGTACTCCTCTTATGTCTGGGCGAAGGGCATTAGCAAGTGTGTAGGGTGATACTGGTGTGATTCTTCGGGGCGCTGGTTGCTGCAGTGCATCCTGGTGTCCATTGTCTGCGCCAGGTCGTACCACTGGATTTTGCGTGATGTGGCTGCGCTGTAATAGAGCTAAATTGCTGTTGCGAGTGAAGATGCATACCTTGACGAGTGATACTTCTCGATGCACGGTAAACATGAGTGGAATCACGATCACGAGTGCCAATGCCCAATGACACATGGACATCAATGCTCTGCGCTGCTCGGTTGTCAAAGGCTCGTCCTCTCATAATGCCACCTAGAAGTGTCAAGTTCACGCCGTCACGGTTAACATTGTGGTGAGCCTGCTCATTGCCGTTCGTGGTAGCTGGACATGCGCGCCATATATCTTCAAGAGTAATAAAGCTTGCGGGACGGTTATAGCGCTGGCAATGCAAATTTGTTGGTTTCGAGAGTACTATCCATTCAATAATAATCCCAGCATTAAGCTGAGGGAACATGTCGAGCAGAGCCTGGGGTCTCTTCGTTGTGAATGACGTGAGGGTGTTCGCCGAGACTTTGTCTGTGCAGGGTTTGGAAAAACTCGAAAGAACTGAGTATAAGGTCCGACTGATAACAGGGTACCAGAAAACCGAAAAGCAACTCACGAAATAGATAAGTATTAGTACTATCGTTCCGATTAGTACTAACCGATAGTATAATTAAATTCTGAATCCAATGACGATGACAATATTAATGTTACGGTTGGAGAATCCGACTTGGGCCAGAGTCCTGTAGGACCCCAGATCCTGATTCTCTTGGCCTGACACGCACGACGCACATGCATGCTGAGCCAGCTGACGGAGACTATTTTATATGTCCAGCACACGATAATGTACAGTTATGGATTATAAGGCAACAAGTTACTCCATATATCGGAAAACAGTGAGCCCTCCTCGCAGGCGAGTCTTTAACCGCCTCGTCTGTCCATGAGGAACACTCATTTGAATCTCAAGTCAACTCTTTCGAGTCGCAATTTACCGCGCGTTGAGCATTGTCTCAAATATAAGTATCGTCTACTTTCGGAAGAGTAGACTATCTAGTACTAGTAAGTCCAACGTCGCACCGTTCTCAGAGTTCCGAATCAACGGAAATTTGCAGATTGACAACCAACTGAACAGCAGGGGTACTACACCCGGAATCAACTCGGAATCCTTCGGACCTGCACAGCTGCAGGGACCTCCAACCCCCACTAGTGATACTACATAAATCAAAGATAACTACTTCACCCGGGTGACCCGTCGCCATGCCTTTATCGCATGGATGGAACATACTGAGTCCAGGCATCGGGATCGATCTTCGAATCTGGCGCCTGGATGCGGCATGCTTTAAACGAATCGGTAGCTGAAGGTAAAACTATTAGCACTCAAAAACACCAACAACGCAAGTCAAGGCGCCTTCTTGTTGTTTCCGATTGTTACAATGTCGTCGGCTCTTGGGAGAACATCGTCCACTGAATCCGTATGTGGTGTCTGGCTCTTCATCGACAGGAAGTTAACTTGAAGTCAGGCCCACACCCCAGATAAGAGTATGGCTAGCAGCAACCCTCATCCAGTCGAGAGTTCCCACTCTGTGATTGTTGGAAAAAACAAGCGCTGGTGGTACTAATTGGTTTAACATCTTCACCCTCGCGCTGATATCCTATAATGCAATGGCACTGGAGTCCCACAACACAATGTCGCCGTCTGGGAGACGATCATCTATAGTATGTGTTGTCTAGCTCTTGCTCAGATGAAGTTAACTTGAGGTCAGTCCCACACCGCAGATCAGAGTGCAGCTGGCCGTAAATACCTTGAACTCGAGGAAGCTTCATGTCACACAGACACATGCAATATTGTCATTTTTGGGCAAACAGGTGCTGGTAAAAGTTCCTTGATCAACTTGATTACCAAGACGCAGGCGGTGTCAACGTCCTCCGACGCCAGGGGATGTACAACTAAAACCACCATGTATAAACATGACATCGAGATTCAAAATGGTACCTTGAAGGTACGACTGTTTGACACGCCCGGTTAGTGCTGCTCGCCACTCTTTATGGGGGTCTCACCGAATTGGATCCCAGGTCTTGATGAGGACACCAAGGGAGCGGTCCCCAACGAGCAAGCCCAGACGGGTCTGAAGAAGCTTCTTAGAACTCTTATGATGAAAGGGGGTGTTCATCTCCTCGTGTACTGTGTGCAGGACACGAAGGACACCTCGGCGCTCCAGCGCAACTACAATTTAATGTACCCCGAAGTGAAGGAAAGTGTTCCTATCGTCCTTGTCGTTACAGGCCTGGAAGACCAAGAACCGGAAATGGAAGAGTGGTGGAGGAATAATGAGAAATCCATCTCAGACCTCGGGATGAACTTTGCTGGCCACGCGTGTATTACCGCTGTAACTGTTCATGAAGGTGATACAGAAGAGCTCAAGCAGCGCCGCGAACAGTCATATCACGCCGTCTGCAAACCTTATCGAACATTGTCGCCTGCAGAATGGGATTGAGGTCTCCGAGATAACCAATACTCCTCCCGCAAGGTACGTACTTAGTCTCCAGATGCTCTTTGCGCCGTACTTCGCCGAACATTGATAAATTAGGAAGACTAAAAACATCGTACTCTTTGGCGAGGCGGGTGCAGGCAAAAGCTCAGTCGTCAATCTCATGGCAGGAAAAGAGGTAGCTCTCACATCTCTTGGCATGAAACGCTGTACGCTGCACTGGCAAGACTATGTCATCGACTTCGATGGAGAGTCTTATAAGGTGTTCGATACCATTGGTATCGAAGAATCCGGACTTGAAATGAAAGAGTATCTTGCGGCAGTCGCAAACGCCTATAGGTTCATCAAGGCGTTGGATGCGGAAGGCGGCGTTGACCTGCTTCTGTTCTGCGTTCGCGCAGGCCGATTCACCGCTGCGCTTCAGAGCAATTACAGATTCTTTTATGAATTCCTCTGTGAGAAGAAGGTTCCCATTGTCCTCGCAATTACGAACCTCGAAAGAGAGCAGAGGATGGAGGACTGGTGGGAGCGAGAACATAGAGTCTTCGCTCGATACCAAATCCACGTTGCTGACCATGCGTGCATAACCGCCGCGAACAGATTGGAAGGCACACACCCAACGACTTTATGAAGAATCGCGTATCGCAATCCGCAACCTCGTCAAGCAGAATATTGCTGGCGAGCGCAACGAAGTGTGGACAGGGGGAACTTGAACAATGTGTTCGTGTCGTTGGTGCGTGCGCTGAAAAAGCTTCTGGTAAAGAACTCGCATATTAGAAAGATGAACCTTACCGGTCAACTCACGAAGCGTTGCGGTATGCCTCGAGAAACTGCAGGACTGTTGGCCGATATGATCGAGCAAGGGGAGGTCAGAGAAGATACAGCTTGACTTGCGTTTTGTTTTGCTCTTTTGCTTGTAGACCATTTTTGAAGGATACATGACATCTATGATCTAGGCGTTTCTTATTCCCGCTCCCTTATCACTGTACAGTAAAATCGATTATCTCTCCCAATTTGAATATGAACGTTGTTCGGGATGGAGTACACTGTTTTTGGAAATTTGCCGCCACCGACGGTGGGAAATTCACGGCATTCCATCGCCTTCGAAGGTCAGCAAGTCGTTCTGGCGGTGACGGATATGGCCCTTTACACTCTCTGCAGCTAGCGCTGAACACACTCAGGGCTACTTAACGGTCGAAATGTCAGAGATTCAACCCATGATCGCGCCGCAGGAGGACGGTTCTGGTAGTGTACCAGAAACAGCACATGAACCACCACAACCGACGCCCATTACAGACCAAGAGGTGGGAGAGTATCGGGAGCAGGATCGTTTCCTACCAGTGCGCACTATTGTTCGTCTGGGTTGATTGACTTGCTTATCTTTCTGATAGATTGCAAATGTCTCCCGTATCATGAAGCAGTCCGTTCCACACACCGCCAAGATCGCCAAGGATGCCAAGGAGTGCGTTCAGGAATGTGTTTCAGAGTTCATAAGTTTCATTACTTCTGAGGCTGCTGAGAAATGTCAGATGGAGAAGCGGAAAACAATTGGAGGCGAGGATATCCTGTACGCCATGGTGTCTCTAGGGTTTGAGAACTATGCGGAAACACTGAAGATTCATTTGGCAAAACTGAGACAGGTGTGTATTTCTTCCGTGACATGCTTCCATGATGGGTTGTATTAAAACTTTTGTCAGCACCAAGCAGGATCCTCGTCGAACCCGCGACAAGAGCATAGAGAAGATTGATTCTACTTTCTTGCACCCTGTACTAGATCCGTGTGCCACTGTATCAACTGCTTTCGCAATATTGCCCATGTTTTGCAACTCACTTTGCCACTTTGTCCGCTTTCAATGATACGATCGCCAACGCGCCGCCCGGGTAGCAGCGTTGTCCAACTCATAGTACTTACTGAGATGCCCTTGGGTCATATTTCCTTGACACGCTCCCTGGTAGCAATGCATATCACATTCCAAATACAATATTCAGTACTATGATTCTCCGGGTAAGAATTCGGTTGAGATTAGATTTACAGTCAATAATGTACGGCGTATCGGTATTCTGAGGTGGATAAACCTCTCGGCAAATTCCGTGCCAAACTCCGACACATCATTCTCAACTACACGACCAGCGTCAACGACGTCGACGGACACCCTCAAATAATCCCCAATGACTGTAAGTCGCTGTTCTGTGTATCTGAACCCTTGATCGAGCATTGCGCCACTTCTGACATGATTTTCGATGGAAACTGGTCGAGTTTGAGATGGATGGAGGTGCCACATATCCGATGTAGTCAATGCATTGGTGAAACACCTATATCATATGGCGCATAGCGAACGATCATTGTGTCTCTGATGCTCGATTGAATGGAAGTCTAATGACGTTATTCGCTTGTAGGACTCAACTTTCAAACGTTTCGTAGAGGTTGGACGAGGTACGACTGTTTACGACTTGTGCCGCACTGAATAAACTAAAGTGTAAACAGTGGTCCTTCTCAAGTCCGGCCCATCTGCAGGCAAGATCGCTGTCATTGCTGAGATCATAGACCACAACCGGGTGTGTGCAATGATATCATGCGCCAGAACAATTAACTGATCTCATACTGTCCTGCCAATGTATAGGCAATTATTGATGGCCCAACCACCGGTGTACCACGCCAATCATTCCCCTACCGCCACCTCACCCTCACCCCTATTTCTCTAACAAAACTTCCTCGCGGCGCAGGGTCTGGTGTCATCCGGAAGCAAGCGGAAAAGGAAGGTGTCGTTGCTAAGTGGGAGTCCTCAACATGGGCCAAGAAGCGTGCTGCCATGGAGAAGAGACGGTCACTGAACGACTTTGAGCGTTTCAGCGTGATGGTCACAAAGAAGCAGCGGAGAGATGTCGTCAGGAAGACCCTGGCCAAGGCTGCATAGAGGATGTATGGATACAAAATATCAGACATCTTGGTAGGATGTCGCTTCGCTGCATGATCCACACTTCCCTCACATCTGTTATGCCTACCATGATATATGCATGCACCATGCCCGCGCTATATTGCTAAACATTCGCCTCGAAGTAAGATCTGTTATTCTCAACTAGTCGGCTTCTCCTGGGTTTGAGTGATACCCCTTTTTGTTCTTTCGACCATTGCTTCTGCCTCCACCTCTACTAGAGCAGCTGATGCCCAACTATGAAAACCCCCCTTGTCAAACGCTTCTCTAAGGCGGACCTCTGCTTCTTGCCAATTCCATCCCACGGGTTCAGATGCAGGATTTTCCGTCCGCGCAGAATCATTAGCATGGGGTTCAGCTGGACGATATATTCGGTGTGAGAGGACGGGTAGTTTGGTCAGCACCGCATGACGGAGACGTTCCGCAAACTCGTTGATCTATAAGAAAAAGTTGCTTGAGTTCCAGAAAGAAAAGTCACGAGATTGCAAGGACGCACATCATGAGCATTGAGAGCTTTCATTACTCCCCAAATAGATGCTGTGGCACCTAGCGTCACAAGAGCAGTAGCGATGCCAAAGGCTTTGAGGGTGTACAGAGGACCGTTGAAAAACTGTTCTCCATTTTCTCCATTTGACACAGGTACTTTCAGAGGCGGCGGTTGAGCTAGAATCTCACTCGATGCTGTTTGTGAGGCAGGTCGGGATCGTATTGGAGAAGAATGCGATGAGACAGGCAGCGTTGATGGTCCTCGCCCTCGCCGAGGAGGCGCAGTAGCTTCCTGAAGATTCTGGGGAATAACACCACGCCTATATCGTCGTAGCATGATTATTGGCACTACAAGTGCTACGGATGAAAAGGCCAGCTGCGGTACATATGAACTGCCAGTCCATACAATTGATTGAATGCGACCGGACTACTCACCAAGGTCACTGGAACCCATTTCGGAACTTGGTGATTAGTTCCGAAGATACTTGTCCGTAGACCAGTAAAACCGTCTTCCTTTGCATCATCGGAAGACGTCGTTTGTCGCGTCATTCGCGATGGTAAAATGTGAGTCGCAAGGCGGGAGGAAGTCTAAAAGAAGGATCACGTGGTGTCCGACTGACATGGTCACCTGTGCTTTGCCCTTTTCATCCCATGCAAACTTCCATGGGTTATGCAACGCGTTCATTCATGGCTATGATACTGGATTGTGGAGGCTTTTTTGATAGGTCGCACGAATCATACCCTCGAGGCAATTTTAATTATTTGGTGAGAAGCTGAAAGATGCTGGGATCCAAGCGATCACGCATTACCTGGGGTTCAATATTTCAATTGCCTTACTAAATGTGGACTGGAAAGCGAGTTCCCATTTGTTTGCTATCTGTACTGAGATTGATTTTTACTAGTTGCACTACCGATGTTCAATTCTATGCGAGCCATTTTGCAGATGGTAAAAGTAACAGCTACAAATCCTTACACACAGACTCCATATATACAACTACCACTGTGCACCGGCGTGGACAGCGGTCATGACTGCGCTTAGAATCTCACTTGGGCCCTGATTTTGGAAGTGAATTTGCGATTGAGGCAGTGAATGAACTAATTGACTCAGTCAAGAACGCAACTCTCTAAGTATACGATCGAGTACACTGCTAATCGGGATAAACCTGAACCTAGCATGCGTAATCATACCTTTATGGGATCTGTGTGAACCCCAGTACTATCATAATATATACATTTACCAAAGGATTTCCGTCAATGTAGTAATGGCGGCATGAAGCAAACCATAAAAGGATATTGGTAGCAAAGGTCAAGCAGATATTGGGATCCTCTCTGACGAGTATGGTGTCAGGGACGGTCCACTATCATGTACTAACATATTACAAACCATCATAGCCTAACATTGCGACAGGGTCAAATGCTGAGGTCTGGTTGGCCTCACACCTATGTTGTGCGTTTGCAATACAGTCATAGTGTTATCGTATTACTGTATTTCTGTATTTACTCTAACACTGGTGCTTCACAGCATGATCGGGCAGAACGAGGGCAAGCATTGATTGATCTAATTTACAAACAACAAATATAACTAGATGAAACACGCTACAAAAACGGAGGGGACGGTAAAAATAAGCTGAAAATCATCCCATATACTTGTGCGAATCTCATCCAGGATGTCCTGGCTGAGAGGGCTATCAGCTGGTATAGTCAGGTTGTCCGCCGTCCAAGACTCGATAAATTTCCCTTCCAAACTGATCTTAGGGTTCCAGTTAGGCCAGGGCCCCCGAGGAAAGTCTGGATTGGCGGCAATGAATGCCATCCAGAATGCGTCACAGCCCCAAGCCCACTCAGGCGCTCTAACGTCCCGAATGGTGTCAACCAGCCAAGTTTCCACCTGTCTGGCGAGCACAGACCAACTGGCCTCGGACAAGGGATTGAAAGATGGCGGAAGTGGCAAGAAGGGTATCTGCATGAATGTAAGGTTCAATGTGTGTCAGCGCTGCGCACGATTCGAGACTCACCATGAGCTGTGGGACAGACTGCGACTCGAAATTTGAAACCAATTCTGTCCAGGAAATATGGCGAATTACAGGCACCGCCTGCCCTCCAAATTCTCGCAGCCATAGAATTGTGACCTGTAGTGGCTAGTAGACAAGGTGAATGGTGTCAAGGAATCTGAATTAAAAGAGTACTTATATGGTCATTTCAGAAATAGATTTCAAACTTGTGAAAATAATTCTTTTTGTGGGCTGGTACATATCTTAGAGGGTACTTCCAGGAATGATATGAGCCAAGAATTACAGAAAACGGCGGTTGGGATGTGGAGATATGGTCAAAATACTGACTTTTTGGCCCTACCACCATATGTCACCAGTAATGATCTCCAGATACTCTGGGACCATCACCAATCGATTTCCAAGCTTGAAAAACCCCAGGACAGCCCTTTACGGTATCGGGTTTAAGTTAAAATCAAGTACAGCAAAATATAGGAGGTAGGAGGGAGGAGGAGGACCTTGTATATCTCAAGAATGCGATTTTTTCTGGGAATTCTGGCTCGACCATCGTGTTCAGAGGGATCAAGAGCCCCCAGGAAAAATGCTTTTGGAGCACTGGCAAGTCATGTGAAGTCTGTAAAAATCGATCTTTGTGGGGGGTATGAGGCAAACTGACCTATTTTATTTCAAACAGGCTAGAAATACTCTGGGATCATCTCCAATCGATTTCTGTGATCATAAAACACTAGGAACATCCTTTGATATATCGGTATTTACATAATATCAAGATATATGAGATAGGAGGGGGGAGGGGGACCTAGCATATCTCAAGAACCTGATTTTTTCTGGCAAATCTGGCTTGACCATCGTGTTCAGGGGGATCGAGAACCCCCAGGAAAAATGCTTTTGGAGCACCAGCAAGTCATGGGAAGTCTGTAAAAATCGATCTTTGTAGGGGGGTATGAGGCAAATTGACATATTTCAATTCAGATAGGCCGGGAATACTCCAGGATCATTTCCAATCACTTTCTGTGATCATAAAACACTAGGAACATCCTTTTGCATCTCAGTCTTCACACAATATCAAGATATATGAGATAGGAGGGGGAGGGAGACCTTGCATATCTCAAGAACATGATTTTTGCTGGCAAATCTGGCTTGACCATCGTGTTCAGATGGATCAAAAACCACCAGGAAGAATACTATTTAAGGACTGACAAGTCATGGGAAGCCTAGAAAAATCGATCTTTGTGGGGGGTATCAGGCCAACTGACACATCACAATTCACATGGGCCCAGATGACTCCGATACCATCTCCAATCAATTAACATGGTCCAAAAACACTAGGAGCATTCTTTTATACATCAGTATTGACATGGAATCATGCCTCTGGGCACAGTAGCTAGGGGGAGGGGGTAGCATCACTATGGAATATGATTTTTTCGGACCAAACCAGTGTTGCCATCTGATTCAGATGGCTCAATAACCCCAGAAACAAGTTCTATTTGAAGCCAAGCAAGTCATATGAAAGCTCAAAAAATCAATCATTGGGTGAGGCAGCATCACACTGCTTACATAAGCAAAAGCGGTCAACTTGACCATAGGTGAGCAACTTTACAACAACATGACTTTGACATATCAAATTGTTGTTCCTACTGGTCTGTGTCTTCAGAAATAAGCCTGAGATCCAGCCATGCAAGTCATACAAAGGCTGAAAAAATCGACTTTGGGTGAAGGCCTCAGCACAAGAGTACTTGATAGCTCATCACTTTGGAACATGATTTTTGCGCACCAAACAAATCCTGCTGTCAGATTCAGGAGGCTTTATAACTTCTAGAACAAGTCCTATCTTGAGTCAGGCAGGTCATGTGAAGGCTGAAAAAAAATCGATCTTAGAGGGTGAGGCAGCATGACAGGGGTGTTCAACTTTTGAACATGATTTTTACACAAGAAATG